AAAGTTGTATTATAGGGATACTGTAGGGAAATAAAGTTGTATTATAGTGACACTGTAGTGAAATAAAGTTGTATTATAGTGACACTGTAGTGAAATAAAGTTGTATTATAGGGATACTGTACTGAAATAACGTTGTATTATAGTGATACTGTAGTGAAATAACGTTGTAATATAGTGATACTGTACTGAAATAAAGTTGTATTATAGTGATACTATAGTGAAATAAAGTTGTATTATAGGGATACTGTAGTGAAATAACGTTGTATTATAGGGATACTGTAGTGAAATAACGTTGTATTATAGTGATACTGTACTGAAATAAAGTTGTAATATAGTGACGCTGTACTGAAATAAAGTTGTATTATAGTAATACTGTAGTGAAATAAAGTTGTATTATAGTGATACTGTAGTGAAATAAAGTTGTATTATAGTCATACTGTAGTGAAATAAAGTTGTATTATAGGGATACTGTAGTGAAATAAAGTTGTATTATAGGGATACTGTACTGAAATAAAGTTGTATTATAGGGATACTGTACTGAAATAACATTGTATTATAGTGATACTATAGTGAAATAACTTTGTATTATAGTGCTACTGTAGTGAAATAACGTTGTATTATAGTGATACTATAGTGAAATAACGTTGTATTATAGTCATACAACGTACAAATCTAGAAGTCATTTTGTGTCTAGCAACCAAGTTTTTAAAAAATGATCTCTTCACGACACCAAAACTTTTTAACCGACCCTAACCAATAACGAATTCGAAGAAAAACCATTAAACATTGCAATTGAATTGTATTTATTACATCAATTACTTTTCGAAGAACCACAGCGCGTGCGCAATGTACGTGTAAATATTTACCCTAATCTATATTTTTAAGTACGTGATTACATAGACAGACCATTGTTCTGTCTTTCTGCTTAATAAAAACAAAAAGTCAAAGCTAATGCTTTTCATTCACAGTTTTCGAATGAATCTATTTGGATTTTTTGTTCTGCTTCACAAACTATAAATATATATATATATATATATATATAGTACGATTCAAGAAGTCGATTACAGTTGTGCCATTTAGCCAGTTTTTCAACTCGTGTTTCAACACATCCCTAGTTATGGCACACAACTAGTTTTAAATATGGGTTTTCACCACATTCACATTTTTGACTGGCTTCAAAAAATCCCTTGTTGTGATATACCAATAGTTTTCATTATAGCTCCACTTAGCGATTCAAGACTTCTGTAAATTCACCACCGTAGATAATCCACTTTAACTTTTCATTCACTAATTTTAGCCTTGGTTCTTTAACATTCTCATACACTAATGTTAGCCTTGGTCATGTTACTTTAACTTTTCATTCACTAATGTTAGCCTTGGTTCTTTAACATTCTCATACACTAATGTTAGCCTTGGTCATGTTACTTTAACATTTCTCATACACTGATGTTAGCCTTGGTTCTTTAACATTTCTCATACATTAATGTTAGCCTTGGTTCTTTAACATTTCTCATACACTGATGTTAGCCTTGGTTCTTTAACATTTCTCATACACTAATGTTAGCCTTGGTCATGTTACTTTAACATTTCTCATACACTAATGTTAGCCTTGGTCATGTTACTTTAACATTTCTCATACATTGATGTTAGCCTTGGTTCTTTAACATTTCTCATACATTAATGTTAGCCTTGGTTCTTTAACATTTCTCATACACTGATGTTAGCCTTGGTTCTTTAACATTTCTCATACATTAATGTTAGCCTTGGTTCTTTAACATTTCTCATACACTGATGTTAGCCTTGGTTCTTTAACATTTCTCATACACTAATGATCGGGGAGGCCCGAGTGTCTTCGAGACCCCCACTTCGTTGGTATTTAAGCCTGGTAGAGAGAGCCAACAGTGAATGAAGAGAGTTCCGTGTAATTTACGATTCTGTTTCGATCTATTGTTTTGCACTCGTAGAAAGCAAAGTTATCGAGGTTGTGAATCGCTGTGATTTATAACGTGTATTATAAAAGTAGTAAGTTTAAAGTGACGAG